TGATGATTATCTTGAATATCACCATAGAGTCTTCGTCCCGCGAAGGATGGAGATAGAGACAAAGTCACTCATTAGAGCAATGGACTGAGCTCTCAAGGTCCAGTTGAAGAGCAGAAGGAGGGAAAAGATGAGCAAGGAAGTCTGGACTGCGAGGTGTTGGTCTACCCACTGAGACAGTGTGCCTGATCTAATGGGAGCTCATCAAATCCAGCTGAACCGGGACTGAATGAGCATGCAATCAAACCGGACTCTCTGAATGTGGCTGACAATGGGGGTGGACTGAGAAGCCATTGATAAAGGCACTGGGACTTGTTTCTACTACATGTACTGGCTTTTTGGGACCCTAGTCTATTTGGATGCAAAGCTTCCTAGGCCTGGATTGGGGGGGGCGGGCACTTGGACTTCCCACAGGGCAGGGTTCCCTGCCCCCTCTTATGGAGGGAAGGAGAGGGAAGAGGATGAGTGGGGGAGCGGGAGGGGAATGGGAGGAGGGGAGGAAGTGTAAATTTTTGAATGAAAAAAATTTTAAAAATAAATAAATAAAAACAAAAATAATAATCACTACCATCAACTAAGCAGTTATCAAGTCATAATCCCTGTTCTAAGGACTTTGCATGATTAGCCTCTGTTAATTCTGACATCTCTTTGAGGTGGTATAATTACAGTCCTCATTTCAGAGAGTTTACCTAAGGTTATACAAATAGAAAATGCACAGTAGTGTGTGTTGGAATACAAACTATAACAGATCTGACTTTCATCTATTATTTGAGAGAATATGAGGAAAAAACAGCTTGTGAAAGGACATCCCATGCAATCTGGTGTCTTCCCCAAGAATCTGAAGTAAACCTATCTGAGGACAGAACTATTTCTTAGACCATCAAATAAATCTAATGTTCTTAGAATAAAAGGAGCTCTGGACATGGAGTGCTAAATCCCTCTGAACCTCAAAATAAACTATTTTCCTTTGAATAAAGTATTCATGCCTGCATTCATATTTTCAAAGGCAATCTTAACTACATCAAATGTCCACCTAATTCCTTCCTTCTACCAATGCTGCCAATCTATACTAAAATCTCCCAGCTACGACCCGCAGCCACAAATTGCCCCAGTATCTGGAGTTACAAGAAGATAGTCTGGCCTTCTTTGGAGCAGTCTGGCTAGAGGTGAGGATAATAATCTCAGCTCTTACTATGAACAGTCATGTGGATATTATTAATTATTCAAGCTTTATATATATAAATATATATAAACAATTATATGATCATTTTAATTAAGCAAATTAACAAAATCAACAATATGTTATGTATATAGACATGACAACCACCCTTGTTCCCTAGCTTGAGGAGTTTGCTGTACAAGAGTACTTTGGTGTGTGAACTATCAATATCCCAGTCTAACTGAAACAAATTTGAGAACACCCTACATACCTCTCCTGTGTGCTCGACACTAAGGGAGAAATGTAGAGAGAAGTGAAATCACCCAACCCTTTGTCAAGACACTGCGAGAGATCAGAGGCGGTTTTGATGCTAAGGTTCCTTTCTCTGTGTGCTCCTTCAATATGACCGATCTCCTCCCTTAGCTCATCAATGAGGACACCTGTCACTAGCAAGAAAGTAGAGGATATAAGTATAAGAAGGATTCTCAGGGTAGAGACGCAAATAGCACACTCGTTATTCATCTTTGGAACGCTAAAATAGAATTTCAAAGATAATGTTTTGAAAGTTACACTTTCTCAAGATACATAGTATGTATTTCTTAAACTATGATTAGCATAACAGGAATCAGGCCTGGTTAACGGGAATGCTGGGCTTCATTTAAGCAAAGCACAGAAGGCTGAAGCTACAAGTCCCATCAGATAGACAGAAAGGTGGGCAGCCGTTCTGACACAGGTGAAAGAAGGGACCAGGGTGACAGTAAACACATACTTCTTCCTCCAGAATTTCAAAATTGCCTAGGCAGTTTTTG